TCCTTTTATAGTATAGCGCTCCTACAAGCACTTCTATTAATTTATAAAAGCTTCTACGCTCTGGAAGCTTTTAAATACTTAACGTTCGTATATATAAAGACCTCTTCTCTCCTTCAGTTAGTTACTCCTTTACTAAGCAAGCAAACACAATCCAAGCAATATAATATAGTCTACTCCTATAGTGCAGAGTTTGTAATGGCAGCCTTGTAGTTGTGCTTCTCGACTGCCACCACAACTATTTAAGACCACTTGAGTGACTGAATTGCCAGCTTCGGTTACTTGTATCCTTTTGGAACATAGCTTAGTGATGTAGTAGTCCGCCAACGTCATGACAGAGTTCACTGTAATCTTCTGTCTTGAGAGCAGAGTTCTTTTTAAGACCTCTTTACAACATCTCTCTATTATCTTTGCAACTACGCCACTTCCTTTAACACTGCTGTCATACTTCCTACTGCTTCCTTCAGCACTGCTATCGTACTGTCATGGCGCTGGCGGACTATTACATCACTAGGCTAAGTTCCAAAAGAATACAAGTAACTAAAGCTGGCAATTCGGTCGCTCAAGTGGTCTTATATAGTTGTGATGGCAGTTGAGAGGCACAACTGCAAGGCTGCCATCACACGTACTTTCTATCGCTTCCGCTCCGCTCTGGTACAAGTGTATAGTCCACTGTAGTATCTCTATACTAGTGCTATTATTATAAGCCAGTTATGGCATTGCAGCAAACAAATAATAATAATAATAATAACAATAATAATAACGACAGGAATAGCAACAGCAACATTGACGGCGACAACGACAACGATAGCAATAGCGATGGCGATAGCGGCCGAGATATAAGGTAGTGATGGTAGTGGTAGTAGTAATGAACTTGGTGGTTTTGGACTTCGGCGGGTGGAAGCTAGAGGAAGGCGCGGGTTTAGCTTTTGGTCAGATTTCACTAGTTTGCATTAGCGGGAGCCAGCCAACCAATCAGGTATAATCTCTTATTTCCAACGCTTAAGATATTCCCAACGCTTAAGCTCTTTGCAACGGTTAACCTCAGAGAGGAGCGTGATTCAGAGCCAACGCTTGGAACCGTTTAACCGTTGTAAACTGGCCAGATTACCGGTAATGAACTTGATTCTCCATCACTCATCTCTCAATCCTCATCCTCCATTTCTCGTTCACTCTTCAGTCTTCAGGACTTAGAATTAGACTTTAGTACCCAGTGCTAGGAAACGTAGTCAGCCGTCCACCATCAACGACAATGACGTTTCCGTTCAAGTACGCTCCGGCCCGCGAAGCCAGGTACAAGATCTGGCCGGCCATGTCGAATTCGTCGCCCATCCGGCCGAGAGGCACGGTCTTCTTGTCGAGAGGAATCACGCCTCCGCCGGTCATGGAGCCGCCGGCGGCTTGGACGATGGGAGCGGCCATTTCCGAGGGGAAGACTTTTTTTTCCGCTTCGGAGTTAGTGGCTGTGGAATAAAAAATGGGATAAAGTAGGCGGAAAGGTGATGGGATAGGATGGGGTGAGAGGTGATGGAAGATGGTGAGAACTTACGGCCGGGGCATAGTACGTTGCAGCTGTGAGAGAGATGGGAGGTTAGCATGTTTTTCGTTGAAAAGCGGCAGATTATCCGTGATCAGAGAAGATCCAGCTAAAGAGATGAAGCTGGGAAGCGTCATGGGGTTGACTTAAACGGACACTCGTCCTAAAAACCCTTTCCTGACTGGCTGACTGGTTCTTCCCCGGTTCTTCTCACCCGAAAATCGCCCGTCCCGTCCAACTTTCACCTTCTCGGCCTTCTCTCTCTTCGCCTCTCTCTTCACCTCTCTCTTCA